TTTTTAATTTTTAATATTTAAAATACTAATTATTTTAAATGAGGATGAATACTTTTAACCTTTTTTTTTTTATAACTGATTGACAATAAATTCTATCATGAAATGGTTAATTCCAATTTTAATACTTTTAAACACTGTTTGATTAACATTGCTTCTATGTTTGCATAAAAACAACATTTCTTTGCACAAATACTTCTATTGATTCTATTGACTTATCATTTTTGCAACTGTCATTGACAGTGACTTGGTCTACATCTTTCATTTTTCAGTGTCTCATGGTTCTAATGATAACCAGAGGGACTAATTTGAGCAACTGTTTTAAAGTAGTGGAAACATTCCATGCTAAGTAAGCAATTAATTGAAATATTCTCCTCCTATAATACATAGTATTAACCATTCTACAAATCTTCAACATGTATAAACAACAAAGGCAAAAGTATTTTGATAGATTTAAAAGTGCTTTAAAATGTACTTCTCTGAAGTTATTGCACAAATAGTAATAGGTTGAATAAATATTAAGATACTATAATAATTAAAGTTATAATATTGAATATACATATAATGTTAAATGTTAAATTACAGTTCAAACAGTAGTACATGCTGCATAACCCAAAATTTCATACTCGTCTGATCTCCATCCCTCATATATTAACTTTAACATGACTATATTTGTCATATTTTGAACACAAACACTGAAAAATAAGGAAATAAAACAAGGAAATGAAAAGTTAAATATTTATTTGGTTTTTGTTTTTGTTTGCCTTCATTAGAAGGTGTACGTATTCTGTCCAAATTTCCTCCCTGCTCAGGAGAAGATGACTGTTAATATATTATAGTAGGTATCTGTGCACAGAAGGAAAGATGAATAGTCAGTGGAAAGATGCAATCCACTGAGTAGCACAATTAAGGGTGCAAAAAGTTCCAGAATAACTTTTAACTCTGATGATGGATGACTCCTTAACCTGTCAAGACCATACAACATTGGCAATGTGAGCTAATATCTATTTCTGGTATGCCACTAACCACAGAACTCTTGGTAAGACAGAACATTATATTTACAGTGATAGCTCTTTAACTCCTGAGAACAGCTCAATATTTGGTCTTGAGAGTGCTGCCAATCAAATATAAAAAAGGCTGCCTTCAAGACAGCTGGGTACCATTTCTAAAGAGGCTAAAAGAAAACATTGTAAATACTGTTATCAAAATAGATGAGTATGCTCTACACTCTGTGAGAAAAAAATATGAAGGAATAATCTTTGCTACAGCCCTTGGCTGAAATTCAAGGAAGAATGATTTGGTGTGTCTATGTTTGGGTCCATGAAATTTAATGTTTAGCAGGAAGCAGATATCACCTTTTCTCAAAATTGCAGGTCTTTGGCCATTGCTCCTCCGATCTGTGAAGAAAGTCTGGCTGCTCCTCAGGAGCACCTTACAGAGACCCTCTCTGAGAACAAGCAGTCTTTTCATGCCTTTCTACACTGAATCCACTGCATTTTTTCAGACTTCTCTCTTCTGGGAAGGAGTGCACAAAGGAGGAAAAAACTAGTGGACAGTGCACTAGCCATCTTGAATGTGTAGTGCAAAATACCCTGTTTCTCATAACAAACAAAGAATGCAAGCTGCTATTAATCTGAATATAAGCAAATGTTTCTGAGATAGGTGTTATTAGAGACTTTAATGGTTTGTATGTTTCCTGGTGTGCTGGAGCCAGACAAAAATTCTATATACGCATTTAAAAGCTCTCTATGTACCTTGTTTGTATAAAATGAAGAGATGTCTTGCTAATTGGCATTACTTTCTTTTTAAGTATTTGAAATGGGAGCATATACTTCCTTAATTATTACAAATGAAGCTTCTGTTCATTAAGCATAATATTAATATTTTCCTTTTCTTTTCACTCATTACTTCCTCTCAAATATTTGCCACCTTGAAATTTTGTTCAAGTTATACACTTTAAAATTACAAGCAATTTTTCGTGTACTTAATGTTCCATATTAAGCAAGTGGAATTTAAATTCTCGTTTCCTTGATGTTCTGTTTTATGTTAAACAAATTGAGGATTATGCATTGATGGTATAAATATACATATAATCACTTCTTTAATTATGCATGTGATTGCTGCCTAACTTCGTAATATGTTCCTACAGTCATTGCAGAACTAAAATATTTTAATTTTCAAACTGTTTTTCAAAATGTTAATTTGCTTTCATTTCAGGGCTTTCTATTAAATGTATTTGAGAAAAGATCTACAATGGCCTTGTTATTCACTTATCTGCATATTAATTGATTTTTTTTTCTGTTTTCTTTAACTTTTTTTTAATGACAATTTTTAACCTCTTCAAAAGATGGAAATGTAATCTAAAAAGAGTATTTAATATATCTTCTGTTCTGTAAATACTGGAAGAGGGGACGGGGACTTGCAGTGTCATAATGAGTATTTCTCTGTACCACAGTTAAAAGATTAAATATTTAATATTATTCAGATTTTCAAACCTGACAAAGGAGATCACTCAATAGTACTTGTTCCCTGTCCCATTTGTTTGCCAGTTCTGAACTGAATGAGGTGTTTTTCAACCAGGAAAACTCAAGGCAGCCAATAAATTGTGGCAATGCATGTTTGATGTTTCTGTGCAGAAGGGACCATGCCTTCTGCATGAGAAGGACCACGCCTTCAGAGAGCAGCCCCACAGCCCCTCGTCGGAGGCATCCGGAGCTGGGGGCAGGTGCAGCTGGACAGGGAAGTGGAACACAGAGCAGGAGGTGTTAGAGGGAGGGCAGGCCACCCTGGGAGTGCCAGTTCCTTCGGCTCTCAGCAGTGGAGGGCTTCTGACCCTCCTGCTACAAGGGGCTGAACGCTACAGAGAGTAAGTAGGTCTTGCAGCAGAAGGCTCCGTGATGGAGCTTGAGCTCTGGTGTCTCAGTGGATACGGTGAAACTTAATTGATTGTATCTCAGTTGAGGAGCACTGGACAATAAATTGTAGCCTGTTAAGACTAGCAGGCGCTAAGCTCAAGGGTACTGTTAGTCCCAAAAGAAAGAGCTGTCAGCTGGTAGGTAGAACCACATCCTTCTTGGCTTGTTTTCCCTCTGAAAGCTGGCCAGCTGCCAGCTAGGTGGCTGGGAGTGCAGTGGGATGAGATGGCTGAGCTGACTTGCCTGCTTGCTGTTGCTGAAAGGCCAGCACTGTGTACCCACTTCTCTGGGCTGTGCATTTCCCCTGCTTCTTTGTTGCTTGCTGCTTCTCTGACCTCTCTCTGAGCCAATTCAGTTCATTAAACCATGGGTAAACTAACGCAACCAATAGAGGAAATAGCTTCTGGTCAAAATAATGAGTCTGTTTGCTGAGGGGTCAGATACATGCCAGAGATGGAATGCAAGGCAGAGGAGAATGGGACTGCTCCTTTTGGCATCAGAAAGCTGTTAAGCCTGCTCAGTTGTTTCTGGAGCACACACCTCCAACCACAGCCTGACAATGCAGATAGAGCCAATGAAAAGGCTAACCCCTGCTGAAAGGGATGTTCCCACTTCCTTCCTCTCCAGCCTGGCTTTGTGCTTCTCCTGGCACTAATGCTTATTTAATCCTACCACCAGCTAGACTGGGGAGGAGATTACTTCATTCTTTTGTTTGTTGGGGTGGCTTTCTAACCTACTTGCTGAGGGGTCAGATGGTGGTAGGAGTGAGGTGGGAGTGAATGGCTGGACTTCCTCTTAGCGTGCCAGTTGGCCTTTGAACCGCTTTAACTGCTTTGTTAGGCTGTGATCTGCAGTTCTGTTGGCTAATTATTGAGAGTAGCTAAACCCCAGAGTAAGATGAATGCGAAGTGTGCAGGCCTGTAGGCTCAGAGAACTGTTTGTCTGTAGGTTGCTGACAACCATTGATGACTTGGATGGTCCTCCAGCCAGGTTGCGGAGTTTCAAATAAAAAAAATCTGTAAGCTGAGTGACTGAAAACTGGTAGAAGGAGGTCATGCAGCTGAAATGACAGCTGCTGTAATGGATGAGTGGCTTCATTCCCAGCAGCTGTTATGTGGTAGCAATAACTCACTCAAGTATGATCGATTTGTGAAGCTGGCATTACTACAAGTTTATGTGTGTACACATGTGATATGTGCTTACAAGAAGCCCAGTGACCGGAGTCCCAAACTGAGTCTCAGCAGTAATGAAAATTGCAAACATTGGGTGATCAATGAACTGAGTCTCATCTGAGTGGAGCTACCTTTCTAAGAGTTGTTTATAGACATCTCTGTGGTCAAAATGTCTGTTTAAATTATTTGACTATAAATGAAGAAAACCTTGTGCTTGCATTCAAAGATCACAGTGAGGCTAGGAACAGTGCTGAGTTCATGCAAACTCTGATTGAGAACTATGCTGTAGGCATATATCCACAAAACTTTAGAAATTTTTTTCCAAGATACTCCTGTTTTCAGAGCACTTCACTTTTTTTCCCCAGTGATTTTTTTTCTCTGATCATGTACTGCATAATCCACAACATTTTCTTTGTTTGTCAGATAGGGTGGACCTAATTTCAGCTACTCAATTTGCTCATGTAATAACTGGCCAAGTTAATGAATCAGGTGTATAGCATATGGAATAAAAATGATCTTGAGTTTCTTTTTATCTCTCACAATTAGTTATAAAACAACGTTTATAAATAATGGTGGGTGAGATTTCAGATTATTTGTAGTAAGGCTATAGATTACAATAAGCAGTTCCTTCCCTAGATAAGTTACAGTAGGATAGAGTAGTTCTCCACACTTAATCTGTGATGACTGGCATATAAAAGGAGAAGCTCAACCTGGTGAGCAGCAGCTCTGTAAAAAAAATGCTGACAGCACAAGGCCCACTTGTGCTCTTGCAGGCTCACAGCTCACTGCAGAATGGATAGCGATACTGAACTGTTGACCTCAAGCAACTGGCAAGTGTTTTTTCAGACCTGTGAGAATGCTGACCCTAGAAAAAAAGAAGTACTGCATGCTAACTTTGGATTAATTATTTCCTTAGGATTCTGGAAAGGTAAAACTCCTAATAGCTGTGCTGAAGGACAGACTTACCACTCTGACTAGTGAAGACAGACTTGATAACAAGCACTGAAGTAAGTAAGCAGGCCAAGCACACCCCAAGAGGGTGTTAGAAGAGTCTTGTGGCAATGTTCTTGTTAATTTTTGAGACAGATGTATTGGGGGTGGGTGTTCTGGGGATAGGTTAATTTATGTTGGGGTCAGGTAAAGACCCTTAATGAGGATAGATACGTAGAAAATAAAAGCAGACCTAAAGTGGTTAGTTGCCACTCTGGCATGCACAATCTGCACAGATTTAAATAATTAACACATTTAAAGTCCCCGTATCCAGTACATTTGCAGAGATCAACAAATTGATGGTATTTGCAGTGAATTGATTTGAATTTCCTTGGTTCTTCTATGAAGAAAGTTGGTTTAGGTTGATGTAGTGGTTCTGAGCCATAAGTGCCTTTTGGGCAGTATCACAGTGAAAATTGAATTAATGTATGACATACACAGCCATATATAGAAAGTGCTTTTCATGCTTTTCAGACTTACTGAGACTGAGCATTATAGCAGAATAAAAATTAAAAGAGAAAAATCAAGGTCTGTGCTTTAGCTACCTGTCAATATAACACAACTAGTTAAAATTGGAAACTAGGAAAGTAATTTTAGCCTCTACAGAATAAGACTTTGTTTGAAAGCTACTTTGCATGCTTCATGTATGATCTATCACCTTTTATTCTGAAATTTCATTGATGTGTTTGGAAAAGTTAAACAATAAATACAGGCTAACAATTAGAAATATTACCAGTCCCAGTAACAGAAGTTCTTGCTCTATTTGCATAAAGGATGTACTTATTTCATTATACAGGTAGCAGCTACTGAAACCTGCAAAGATAGTTTATGTCTTTCATTGGTGGGCAAAGGAAATACTGGATGAACTCTTAACAATGCAGCTTACATTAGACCTGGAAAGATTCTAGAAATACAAATTGTAGAAATTTAATCTTCTCCAAACTTCTGTGACATACAGACTGGGAAATCAGTTGCTGGAGAGCATAGGACTTTCACATGTTTCACCAAAGACTTGATAGTGAAAATGTATTAAATGGCTTAAAAGCAAATATATGTGAAAACTGTTAGAACTCTTTCTTGTTCTAAGATAAAATAAATTCATATTTTTTGATAGGCAAGATATTTGGTATTTATTTCAGCACCCTTTGGTTTGCCTTTTATATTGTTCCCACAAGACCAACATACTTGCCACATAAAAATAATAAAACAGATTTATTAAAAGAAAAGGAAGAAATGACATCACTATTTTCATGGTTACAAAGTGTTTGCATATATTATCTGTGAATGACCAGGGAAATCTGAGGTAAAATCGCATGTTGGAATTTAGAAAAGAATACTGAGAAAAGGAAAGCAAAAAATAGGGCCATAAGAATGCAAAGTATGTGGCAAATAAAAATAATGGATGAAAAACAAATGTAACTTGGTAGATGCATATATGGAGTTTCTAAAATTCATACTAAAACATTTGAATAGTTGATTTCAGGTTATCAGTCAAATTCAGAACGAAGTACATTTTATTCAATGCTGATGTCATTAACATTTGCTTTTACATAGAAAAAAAATGTTTTTAAAAGGACTGTGTTTATTAAGATTTCCAGAATGTATGTTGCGGTGCTTTTGGAGTACTACCAAAATGAAAGACTTAATCCACAGCAGGAAAAGATGCTTTCTCTTTTGCTTTGTAGTTCAGTAATACTACCGCTTCTGAAGTGATAAACATCTGATAAAATTCCTCTAACTGGGTACTAACTGTAACTATTGAAAGTGATGGATTCTTATTTCAGGTCCAGCAAATACCTGCCTACATGACTTCCTAAAGAACAGATTGAGAAGTATTCAGGACACTTCTGTAGTCTGATGACCTGGGTAGCGTGCCCCATGGGGCCTGTTTTGTTTCACACTTGCTGCTCTGAATAGAGTGGACTACTTAGTTGTGTTTCCCATTTTACAGGGAAGACTTTGTTGTGAAGGGGGAAGGTTTGGAGAGAGGATTATGAACGCAAGGAAATTCTTCTGTCTCTTCTGATGAAGCTGTAACCTTTTTTTAAAGCACACATTGAAGCTGAATCTAGAAGCAGATTACCTGTTTCTAATAAATGATTCATGACCTCAGGCATCCTACAATCTGTTTCTTAACAATTTATACAACAGTAAGGGAAAAAAAAAAACTATGTCTGTTGATTTTCAGTCTAGGTCTTAATTTCCTTATCTTATGCACTGGAGGCAAAATAGCAAATTAGACCACATCAATGTCTTTTATCACTATTATTCTGATTGAAGCTATCAAGGATCCCCTCGGAGTTTTGCCTCGCTACTGTGAAACAGGGCAATGCCGCAGTGTAAGTGATGCTCCGACTTCAGCATCACGGCAGTGAGGCACAGCATGAAATTAGAAAAAGCACATGTTCCCTCTACAGTCTGTGCAGCTGAGTTTTGGTGGGTGCTATGATGTAATGGGTCTGCAGATGTAATGGGTGCCCTTCAGAGACTAAGTCCAATGAGTTTCAGGTGTTCCCATGGGGAGAGTAGCTGGAGCCTGAAAGCTCAGACAGCAACCACTGCAGAGAGCCTCCTTTGCCTAATTGCAAGTTGCTTGGAAGTATATTTGGGCTGTGGTTTTGAATAGAAGGTAATTCTAAACATTATGTTATTTTTCATGCATTTGTAAAAAACACCTGTAAATGAAGAATTTCTTTGGTCTGTCAACTTGAAAACTTAAAAAAATATTTCTGTTTTGAAATAAAATAACTGTGACTTATCATTTTCAGAATACCTTGTCCAGATGTTATCTTAAGACTAGATAATTTAAAAAAATCATATTAAAATGAACAATTTTTTTCAGAAAGCATTTTGATACTTTGGGGAGGGAAGTGACTGTGGCAAGCAAATATTTTTCAAGATGTGCAATGAACAATTATTGGAAACATACATTTCAATGATCATTATTTTTCAGAAAATAAATTTCTGGAAAAAAAACCCAACACAGTAATTCCTGGCATCATTATCTACAAAAAAAGCCAGATCTGGAGAATTCATTCGGTTCATATGTAGATTTTGTTTTATGGTTCTATTTTTATTCTAATGTATCATATTCAGGAAAAATATTTGGTTAATTAAGAGCATGTTGTATGGTAACTTTATGGACACTTTATCTATTATTATTTATAGTATATGAGGCTTTTGTTGTTCTAAAGCCAGGTAGATATCAGCATATATCTTACATCTATTTCTTTTTGAAAGAGAGAGTGATTGCATTTGTTGGAGGCATCATAAATGGTTTATATGCAAAAACTCTTGTAAATACTTCCACTTTTTTAGAATTTTTTCTCTTGTTCTAGAAATTTCAGCAGCTTATCATTTGCTTGCAAAAACCATGCTGAAGTTCACTTGCATTTAAATTTTCTGTTATAATTCTGTAAAATAACAAGGGGAGCAGTTTATATTTGCACTCTCAATTCCATTTTTATTTGTTTATTTGAAGGACAAATGACAATGACTTGTTGATGAAAAGATTTGCTACAAGTAGTCACTTACATGTGTACTTAGAAACCAGCAAAGAATCCAAGTCTTCATACTTAGTGATAGTAGTAAAATTGTTTCGCATTAAAGTAGTCCCTTAAAATGAAATAAAAATCTGTATGGAGGTGCCAGTTCAGTTAAACAATCATTTTCTTAAACTCCAGCAAGGATTAGTATTTTTTTCTGTTCAGAAATCATGAGCTTACTGGATAAATATAATATTTAAAGTTAGCCATGTTCTCAATAGTCTACAAGGAGAAACACATCAGAAATGTAGTTATTTGCATGGTGAGTTGGTCTGTGTGAAGACTGTTATGGATGGATAATAACTTTTTAAATGCTTTGGAAACACAAGTCATGAAATTATGAATTAATATCATGTCAAAACAAGCTTGAATAATGGAATGATGACATGGGGAGCAAACGTTAGATTGATGATCTTGTAAAGCGTCCCAATGAACAGGCTTAAAAGAGCTGAATTACTTCCATGCCACACCACATGCACCCCTAAAACTTGCAGACAACAGCTCAGTTCTTCAGTTTACATATGAAGACAGGTTGCTGTGGTGCTTTCCCAAGCCAATGGGTAATGTCTTCCCATTCCCTTTGGTTGCATGTGCCTGCTGTTCTCCCAGTGCCAGCTTCAGCGCTGCCGGGAGACGTGGGAGGATGCAGGGCGGGCCTCCTTCAGCGAGCAGAAAGAACTGAACCCAAAACAACCAACGTAAACCAGCTAACAAAAGCACCAGAAAATAACTAAACCCAGGCTTTTAGCATCTGGGGAAACAACGTCCAGCCGAGTACTTCAGGTTTAAGGCTTTATGCTTTGTGGTGCTCCATCTCCAAATGACAGAGCCTGAAGATGTGTTTTAAGCAAGAAATTCCTGCTTTTCTGGAAAAGTTTTGAAATATTAAGGCTGGCATTTTAAAATGAGGCAATGAGAATTGTGGGGCTGTCTCTGGAGAGTTAAGGAGCTAAGAAAGCAAATTTCTCCTCTTTTACAGAAACACTAATCACAAACATTTTAATTTCTCTCAAATAACAGCTTTAATGCAAAATGTTTGCCTTCTGAATTGTAATGAAGAAAAGTTTTGAATCTCTCAGTAACACTGATCCTAGGTTTGGTTGTTTTCTGTAGTTAATTTCAAATTTAAATCTGGACAAGATATAGGCTTGAAACTACATTTCTGAGCTTCATTCTTTTTTGCCTCCATAGTCTAGTTTGCAAGTAAGGAAACATTGATGCCAGCGAACCAGATCTGAGATCAATCTGGCTCACTATTTACTGATAAGGAAAGAAGAGGCTTGACAGGACAAATCTGAATATGGCATTGTATCAGAATAATGTTTTGATTAAATGCTTCTTAGCTTGATGTTTAAGAAAGTTTTCATAGCAGGGCTGTAAGATACCAGAATTTAAACACACCTGAAGTTCAAAAGTCTCAAACATCTGAGAATTGCTCTTCCATTTCAAGCAGAAAAAAATTGTGTTGAGTG